ATGGCCTCAGATTTGGAGGTGCTGATCCTCATTCCCGCTGCGTTACACTCGGCTGCGAACCGCTCCAGTGCGAGCTGGAAAATAAAACCATTTTTAACAAATGTATTTTGCCTTCAGGGTTCACTTAAGCATGACTCCTAATGGATAAAGGAAAGACTAAACTGTGAAGCGCTTCACGAGCACATATTCAACTTGCAAAAATGTCTTGTTATTTTAATAAAAACCTGAATCCTGGTAGCGCAAACACTGAATAATTTAAAACCTGATGCTGCATGTGTTAATTTGAAAACTAAAAGAACCCCTGAACTGTGACTGTGCACACGCAAGTACCAAACATTACCAGAACTTAATTACTGCTACAGTTCAATGGGAGGGAGACGACTGAGGTAGTAAAAAAAAAAACTAAGAAAGGAATGAAGTTAGCCCTTGGATATGAAAATATATACCATAAATTACAGGGTCATAAAGTCAAGTTGACACTGCAGGGTGATATATGGCTACATCTGGTGGACACACATTTCCTGAGCTTTACGTTTGAGGTGGAGGTATCGTTTCATGCAGGTCACAGAAAAAAGTAAGCCTCACTTCTCGACATGTTGCACACGCAGCTCTAATACCAAGACACATGGGCACATGTAGCGCACTTCCACTAAGCTGTTTTCATTATTTGTCATCTGTTTCATACAAACATCCAGCTTCTGCATTCGTGAAACCAAGCTGGCATCACGTTTGAAGGCTTCAACTGTCACCACCAAGTCCCTCTCCATAGACCTCTTCCTGGATTTAAGGCAAAAAGCCTTATCTTTCCTCTCTTGTTACTTGACTCTCCAGAGTGTTATGAGAAATGCGAAGAGCACTTGTCAGCGTTCTGTTTGGATGACTAGGACCCCTTAAGTAAACTATTTGCAGCTGGAAGCCATGCACGGCACATGGTTTACATTTTAACATGGGCAGCTATACGCTGAAAAGTGTTAGGTAATGAGCATAAGACTTTACATTTAAAGAAAGAATAGAAAATAATCAATGCTGTTTTCCTATTACAGACTTTATAAGTTGAGGTTACATGAAAAGAGGGAGCTCGTATAAACATTTACCACTCACTGTGGTATTCTTAATTCTTCACTCCTTTTACTTTGGCATGCAGGAATTTAACCTCAAATTTCACAATGTTGTTTTCCAAGTTTTACCAAAGCAAAGAAACCTCTTTATTTGGCATCCCTTGTGAGTTATGAACAGAAGATTAACCTTAACCAAAACTATTTTCCCAACTGATTCCTTCACGTGAATACGATCAGAGGCCCCACCAACTAAACTTAGCTAGTATTTTATGGGAAAAAAAAAAGTTATTTCACATGTTTTTCTTTTCAAGGATGTATTTCAGATTTCTCTTGACAGGATCACAAAAGTGAAAGACCTAGAAGAGATCTGTTTATTTCACTGAAAGCAATAAAGCAACTTCCTGAAGGATCAGATGCAGAGCAGCTGGCAGGAATTTACTTTTTTCCTCAAGGACACTTCAGCGGGGTAGATGATTGCCAGCAAGAGTGCTTGAATGCTGGTGTTCTAGTTGCAGTTGCACCGATGTCACGAAGCCAAACCAAACATTAGCACGAAGACATCAAATAACAGCAGAGCGCTCGCAGCCTTACAAGATCTGAACCCTATTCTTTGCAAAGACTAAGGGGGGCCTCTCAAGACTGTTTCATACTTTTTCATTTGCATGCTTCCTGCAACCGCAGCAAGCGGATATTTAAACAAGGCAGCAGTCGGGCTTTAAAAAAATCTCCTGTAAATATTCATTTTCCTTCCCAAACAGATGCCGCCTTGTGTTAATCCAAGATTAGTTGATTCAAGCTGAATTTAGAGTGAATTTCAAAGCAGCATCGAGCTGAAAACTGAGCTGGTAATAACTGTGTCTATCATTGTCTTACATATGTGCTGTCTCACAAGAGTCAAGACATGAAATTTGAGCTGCACATACACGCACACATGCAGACCACAATGCCAAGAAAAACTGAAGACCTGGAGAGGTGGGTTGTGTTTCTGTCAAGTCTGTACAAATACGAGAAAAGACGTACTTTATTTTAGGTAAAAGATGTATTCTCATATTCAAAATATAACTTACGAAAAAGTAGTGGTAGTAGTGTTTCTGCTTTTTACTTATTTAAAAAGATGTACAGAAACATGCCAAAAATGAAGTAAAAGTACTTTTTGTGCAGAATGATCTCGTCATTGCTCTCCTGTTGTGGCACTTGATCAGAGCATCAGTTGTGCTTCCTCTTAGTTTTTGTTATATAGTGTTGTGAAAAACTCTTTGCCCTTTCCTGATTTCCTTTTTTTGTGCATCTTTGTCACGCTAAAATGTTTCTGATATCAAATTAATGTTAATAAATAAATAAATGAAAATAACCAGACTTAATAGGGAAAAAATATTAAGGGAAAAAATCTATCCAAACCTACCTGGACTTACATGAAAAGTAATAATTGGTTCTGCTATACTTGGCAGCAAAAACTGCAATCAAATATTTTAAATAACTGGCAATGAGTCTTTGGCATCATCGTGGAGAAATTTTGGCCGATTCTTCTTCTCTGAATTATTTTAATTCAGCCACACTGGGGTCAGTTTAACATCACAAACCGGTGTCTTTTTTAACACTGGGTCAAGTAGGTTTGGATTGCTTTTTTCCTCTTAGTAAATGAAAACATCTTTTAAAAACTAATTTTAGTTTTATTTTGGCTATTTTTGTCTAATATTAATTTTTTTGATGATTTGAAACATATGAGACTAACAAATATGAAAAAAACGAATAAATAAGCAATTTAAATAACAAACATTTGGTGTATACCACTCACGGTGATTTGGTATCTGACAAAAGCTCAGGCTAGAGTGTTCAACCTATGTATGATGTCTATATGAGGAAGTGTCCTTTATATGGGCATCTTGGACACACATTTGTGACTGTTCAACCCTTCTGAGTGTAAGGGGTAGCCAATCAGAAGAAGGCTTAGTTATAGTAGAGGAGCCAAACGAGCTTCAGACAAAGAATGAACTGTGGGGCTACACCAAAATCAAGTATAAGATAAATAAGGACTTCTGCAACTGTGAATAAATATTTGGAGACTCCTCAAGTACTTGAGCAATTGAGTAAATGTACTTGCTTTTCACTACTTGATTTGGTAAAGTACTAACATATGTTACATACTAGATAACTAGCAGCTAATCAGAAGGGCACTTATTGCAGAAAGTGTGATAGATGATTAGTTTTTAAGTCTTTTTGCCTTTAAGGGGAGCTCTGAACATCACAAATGGGATGAGCGAAAAGATGCTTCACTGCAAAAATGTCCCACAGACCTGTAAACATGCATTCAAATGATTGGAGCTGATGTTTTATTTATTTTACCGTCTTCTTACTTTACAAACAGTTTTCATTGTGTTTTAGGCTGACAAGAAACTCACAGAAGACCACATGGAGAGGGATTTATGTGAAAGACTTTTGTGAAACAGCCAGAGTAACACTGAACACTGGAATGGAAAAAGTGAATCAGTCATGCAGTGAAATCCCTGACAGAAAGAAAATTGTCACTGAATAAAGAGAAGCTTGATTCAATTAAATGTTTCACAACTAGTAAATGAATGAGAACGGGTATTTAAAATGACAAACTCTTTTTCACACAACTGCAAGATTGGAATTAATTAGTTTGTGGCTTTGCTGTTTATTTTAACAGACAAGCATGATTGTGCCTGATGATATGATACGTTTTATATTAGTACCTGTGGAAAAACACTAGGGTAGCTGCTAGTATGTCTGATAAGATGAAACACATTGCCCTCTAGAGTTAGTTTGCATGCATGCATGCAACTTTCTGGTCGCTTCATGAACTCATAAAAGATGGACAGCATCTGAGGGAGTCTCCTGGGGTCAACAGTTTCTACATCACACAGACAGGAACAGAACAAAATATGGGTACGTTTGCCACTTCCACAGCCATCCCTAGTCTTATGCATGCTGCAGGAGGGGTCTTTAAAACTTGAATATGCTGTTAGGATACAGTGTCAGCCTTGTTTGTTTGTCCTGATAGTTTCAGTCAGATGAGAGAAAAAAACTGTCCACTTTCGTCTGATTGGCCTATATTTATTTATTGAGCTTTAGTTTTGTTTATATAAGTCTGTAACGTTCTGCCTGTTTGATTATCTTCATACATGTAACCCCAGTTAGTTCTCAGTGTCAATATATGCTCATACATTCCTTTAGTCTTTGTTGTCACTTTTCTCATGTGCTACCTTGGTGCTCTGTTTTCCTTGGAACCTGCTCTTTGCTCCTCTTGTTCGCAGCCTAACAAAGACGCTTTTCTGTTGTTGAATCTGCTTCATCCACATCCAATTCTCAGCACATCAGTTGCAGACAGCAACCATGTGTCGCAAGTTTTTGGGAGAATGATTGATATTAACCCAGACATCATTTTTAACTTTAAAATACAATTCAGTGTCAGTGTCTGCCTTAAAAGCCAATCAATGCCCAGCATGTACTGTAATATAACTCACTGGTGCTTGGACTCAACGTGACTGGTATTAGGTGATGAAAGTTAAAAGTCACTTTGCTTTCACAAAAAGAACCCACATATTTTGTGCCATGATTCAAGGCTACTACTTTTGACACTTGAGAAAAATGCTTAAAAGGATAAAATGTAACTTGCACCGGGACTGGCTGGCACAGGCGTTCACAAGCTGATAATTGAAGTTTGCCGTGCGGTGCTGTCCTGAGTCTTTCTGTGCTGCTCTGTTTGAAACAAGTCTTTAGGCAGCTATGGAGTATTGGTCATGTTAAAAAATGAATTTTCAAATAATAGCTATTACTTAATTTCCATAAATTACTGAGTTTTCAGTCATTCTTTTTCTTGTAAGAAGTAACATATTTTATTATATATATATATGTATATATATATATATATATATATATATATATATATATATATATATATATATACACACATATATTTAAATGTATATGATGCATCAAATCTATTCAGGTAGGTGAGCTTAATGTTCATCTTAAAAAAACAACAAACACAAAATAACTATATCAAAAACACAGTCAGAGTAAGTTGTGTTAACGCAGTAGCCTTGTTAGCTCCTTCTTCTTTCAAAGAGACACTTTCCCTTCATTGATGGCATCATATAATTCATCAGTGACAGGCTGATAATGTCCAGCACGACTGTTCAGAAAATAAATCTTTTCACTCGAGTTTTGTGGCTTGTATCCTTCCTTCTGCAGCCGTGTCTTCTGAATTTTGAAAGTACCTGTGAACAAGATAAAAAAAAATATATATATATAGTTTTTATGTAATTTTATAAAATCGCATTGCCGTTTGAATGTTTTTTCACTGATGTTCACCTGTAGTGTCAACAGACGGCATGAACCGAAGGAAGACAGGGCGTGCGTAGGAGGGCAAAGCTTTTTGTACACCGATCAAGAATGCATCAAGGTCCAACTGGTTTCCCTCCTGAGCTATTGCTGCCATACCGGCCTTCCCTTCCACACCTGAACACAATAAAACACAGAGTATTCATCAGCTTTTGAGTCTGTTTATTTGCCTGAAATGTGCCAATGAAATAATTCATTTCATCCATACCTGGCACAGACACTCCATAGACGGCAACATCGGTGTGTCCCAGTAGTTTGCTGAGGACTCCCTCCACCTCTGTCGTGGAAACGTTCTCCCCTCGCCAGCGAAAAGTGTCGCCGCTGCGGTCCATGAAATACATGTAGCCATAATCATCCATCACCAGTATATCACCTAAAGCACAGACAGTGACAGAGCAATAAAATAATCATCATTCTGATCGCTGAAAATGAATGACAGTCGTGAAAAAGAACGTATTCACAGGACTGGGAAATACTAAGTATACCTTTACTGCTTCCATATAAAGAAATAAGCAGCAGCCAGATGCTTTTTAATTTTGAAAAAGCCAAAGACTCTACAGGCTTTAGTTAGCATGTTAATTAGATCAATTAAGAGCAAGTATGGCTAATTTGTAAAGGTTACCAAACAGAAAAAACCCCTCTTCTCTCTAAAAACAATATGACACAGCTTAGGTTTGCAAAGCTGCATCTGAACAAACCTCAATACTTCTGGAATAATGTCCTTTAAATAGATGAGATCAAAGTAGAGATGTTTGGCCGTAATGCACAGCACCAGTTTTAACTACAATCAGCTGTCAAGTACCATGGTGGAGGGGTGATTTGGGTTTGTTTTGCAATCACCGAGCAAAATCACTGCTCTTTAAGGCCATCTGTCTGACAACTAAAGCTTGGCCAAAGGGCCACCATTCCAAGCACATTATTAAGTCTGAAAAAATCCACAAAAAAAGAAATCAAGGTGTTGTAATGGCCCAGTCAAAATCTAGACCTCAACCTGATTGAAATTCCATTGTGGATGATAGGAGAGCTGTAAACAAACCAATGAACTGAAGCAACTTTGTAAAGAAGAGTCAAAATTCATCCAGAACAATGTGAGAGAATGACAACTCACAAAGCCAGAAAATGACTACTTTCAGTGAGGGTTGAATTCACGATTCACAAACTGCTTGAATGAAAAAAATGACAAGCTTGCTCCTCACAATGCACCATCATCTGGCTTGGAAACTGTCATAGCCAGGGAGCAAACTTTCATTGCAATCAATGATCCTTGACACTAAAGTTGATGTTTGCTCTGTGAAAAAAACCGATGTCTGTGGTGAAATTACAGATGCAGCAGCGAAAGTGTTCCGAATGGGACTTTCACTGCTGAAAATAGCGGCAGTACTGGAAGCAGTCCAGTCGTGTCATGATCATAAATTATTTTCAGTTTTCTTATGAAAACAGAAGCCAATTAAAATGTGTACTGCATGTAAAAACTATAAACAAAGGTAAAAGTTCATATGGCAATTTAGCATCTGCAGCTTTCTTTTTCTGGATACCTGTGAGATGAAGCATGTTCGATATTATAAAACTGGAAATCAAGAAGCAGACAGTCCATCATTATTATTCTGACTAACATTAAAGAGACAAAATAAAACATGCCTGAAATATAAGCAGAGTCTCCCATCTTGAACACATTGCGAGCGACTTTCTTTTTGGTGGCATCCTGATCAGCGTAACCGTCGAATCTTCTGAGCGGATCGGTGTGGTTGATGTGTCCCACTAACATGCCTGGCTCTCCTGCAAAGATGAAAGATTATTTTTGCATTTGTTTCTCTGTATTGTAGCTTTGCATGTATGTGTGTGTGTGCATGGTGTTACCTGGCTCACAGGGTATACAGAGGCCTTGTGAATCCCTCAGTAGTTCCTTGCTATCCTGCTGCACCCTGACCAGTCTGATGGGATAAAAATTTGGTAGGATGCGACTATTGAAGCCACACGCCCCGACCTGGATGTGCAAACATACAGTATAGCAGGTACGTAAAAAAGATGTTGTGTTTTAAATTCTTTAGCTTCCTAAGAAATCAGTAAAACAACATCCAGGTAAGCATACCTTTCCATCTATGTTGAGCAGGCTGCAGTTGCACTCTGTGGCGCCATAAAATTCCCCAATTCTTTGGATTCTAAATCTCTTGACAAACTCTTCCCACACCGAGGGACGGAGTCCATTACCGATGGCAACACGGACCCTGTGACGAGCCTCTGATTTTCCAACAGGCTGGGCCAACAGATAACGGCAGATCTCTCCTATATATTGGATTACCTATGTGTGCGCACAGACATAGAGGTACAATTACACACTAAAACCGAATCGCAAGTCTTGTTTATAGAACTGGCTCAAGAAAATCAATAGGACATTTGGCCTGTGGCTAGGCACAGTTATTGCACCAGTGTGTACTCACAGTGCAGTTGTGTTTGACACAGTCATCCCAAAAGTGACTGGCTGAGAATTTCCTCCTGATTACAGCAGTCAAACCAAAGAGCAAACACTGGCCTAAACCCATGATGTTCCCTGTAAATATCCACATGAACACATGAGCACATACAACAAGGATTTCTGTGAAGCAAATATATACTTGTAAACTTGTTCTTTCTTTTACATATTGGCAGAAACAGTATCCCTCCTAGTCAACCATGCCAGCCATTTGAACAGTGTTAACACTTGAAAGCATGAAAGGTGAAAAGCTTTTCAAAAGACATTTAGACATTTATTAAAATTTCACTTATGAATATAGCTTGATTTTGCCTTGACAGTTACCAGTAGACCTCTTTTAGACCTCTCATTAAAAGAAAATTGCTCAGTGGGTAAACCTAAGTCCTTGATTTCGAATTATGTTGAAGTGAAAAACTTTGTAATAACCTAAAGATGATAACATTTGCCCTTTTTTACTGTTACTTTTGAACCAAGTTTAAAGAATTTAAATTTAAAGTTATTCTTGTTTGTAGTTTTTTTTTTTTTAACCCATGATGCATTCTATGCTCCCCTGTCATCATGTTTACTGCTCACCTTCATGTTTCAGTCATATGTAGCCTATTTTGTTTACTTTCTTTTTCACACTGAAGATTAATTTTTTCGTGTTTCTTATTTCACTTTCTGCTTTTTGTTGCTAGCCTGTACCACCTGTACCTCTGCCTGCTTCCTGTCTTCTCTTGGTGTGCGAGTCTGTCCTATGTCAGTTTATTGTCACATTGTCTATTTGTTCAATGTTTTTTTTTATCCTATATAAAGCGTGTTGAGGCAGCTGTTGTTGGAGGTTTTGTTATGATGTCGGAGACTGATTGCAAATAGTTGAGCCAACTGGTTGCCCAGAGATTGAGCATGCAACACCCTCAACTTTGGACAACCACTTCTGATTGCAAGACAATTCCACAGGTCAATTGGTGGGGCAACCTGCCTCTGAAAAACTGTCGTCCATCTGCAGTCACTTGCAGACAAATTGGGAAATGTTGCCAATAATCAGTCTCATTAACAAATACAAACAGATTGCTAACAGTGAGTCAGTCTCAGCTGATAAGCGGAGCTTGTCTGCAGCACATCTCATTCAACTGACTGCTGGCTGCTTTTGATCAAGGTTTTCAAGCATCTATGTCATTTTGCAGCTAATCGTTCTGTAGCAACTGAATCACTATTTCTCGAGGAATTTCTGAATTTCTGTTTGAAATCTTTGAGGTTCTGCTGGATTCTGAATAAGTTGTTCACATGACTTTGTCGCCAATGTGATGCTCCAAAGCTGCCAGAGTTCGTCCCTGACTGCAAGGCAGCCTTTCCAGAGGCAGTGAAATTGCAAGTTCATTGCACACAGTTGCAATAACTTTAGTCACGCTCCAGTCTCCAAACACTGTTGTCCTGAATGTGACTTTAGGGTTCTTCTTCTTCTGCCCTTTTTGGTATGGATTCATGTTGTTTTCTCTTTTGAATTTTGGTATGTTTGGGGATTTTTGTATCGGCCAATAAATAAACTTTTTGTTTATTTTTGCCTTCCTCCACATGCTGCATTTAGCCCAGAAAATAACATCACTAAAAGTCCAGTGAGATGAATGTCTGACTTCAGGAAAAAATGTATTTTTAGTATAACGATAAGATTTGTAAACCTCAAATAGATTTTACCATTTATCAAAGCCAATGGAAGTAAAAATAAGTACTTTTTAAAAATGGGGTAATATATTATGTTAAAATAGACATAATAACATAAGAGCTATGAAGAATGATTCTGATTGTTATTATAATGACATCATGCTTGTACAGATGTGTAAGAGTGGGAAATCTTACTTTATATTGATTTTAAATGTATTTTGAAAACATGGATGAGAAGAAACAAGGCCTACCTGCAGAATGATAGAGAGGAAGGCAGTTGTAGATGATGTCATCAGGACGTAAGCCAAAAGAATGAAAACCAAAAGCTGCGATGCGGTAATACCTGACAAAAAAGAACAACAAACTAAGTGACAGAAGTCATCATCATTACTTATGTCATTATTTAAAGGATTCTCTTAAAAGTGCAATTTTATGACTGAAATGTCGTAGACATGTCTTACAACAAAATTCAAAAAGTTTTATTAACTGTTGATAAAACTGTTTAGGTCCCTCAGTGGACTGCATCACCTTTGCAGATGTTTCCACAGATAAACTTACCGACTGTGCACCACTACAGCTGCCTTTGGCATTCCTGTTGTACCAGAAGTGTAGATGTAGAAAAGCCTGTCTGCAAATACAAAGAGAAGAAGAAATTTCCATATTGCATTCTCAAAACCTTTTGACGGTGTTTCACATGGGTGGCATGCACCGTGACGCTCCCGTCATTCTTTACATATTTCTTTGTTACTCTGTTTTCTCTCCGTCCCATACAGGCTAATCAAGTAAAGACTTGAAGCGTGTCAACAGAGGAATGCTAAGCAATAACAAAGACAAAAACAATACCTTTGTTAAAAATAAGAGAACAAATGCACAACAATATAAACGATTGAATTGAACATGGCCAGAGTTGTATTTGCATGCATTATATAAAATAAAAGATAAACATTGTTCATAGTCTTGAACTTTGTAGTAACTTGATGATGATTCTTTCCATTTTTTTTTCCATTTTTTTGACACACATGTGAGCTAAATTAGAAAAGAAAAAATACGCAAGACAGCCAATTTTGGCAGTCGGCCATGCACTCTAGCAGGCAAAGACTTGCTAAGGACAAGAATGTGTTGCAATCAAATCTTGTAAAATGTCAAATGCAGCATACCCCTACCCACGTGCACAAATTCTACAGAGCCTCACCATTAAACTCTTTCCTTATCTTGCAGGGTGGTGGGTGTGTGGGTGAACGGGCCAGCAGAGAGTCCAAACTCTGAACCTGAAGCTCATCCTTGTCTTCCTGCTTACCAGTGCTGAACAAAACCATGCTGGGCTGTAACATGCTACTCACCTCTGTTACAGCTGGAAGACAATCAAAAGTGTGAAAAATGTAAAGCAGGCAAACCAGCACATGTTTTATTAGCTGTTTTATTCCACCTCTGGCCAAATAAGCTCTGTATTTATCTTATAAATAAAGTATATTTAGTTCCCACCTCCAGTCATCTCCGATCCAAACACCATCGCTCGAGCTCCAGAAACACTGAGACAGTGTAGCAATGACTGCTGTCTAAGGTTGTAGTTGATAAGAGCAGCCTCAACACCTATTATAGCAAAACCCAGCCATAAAGATGCCATTAAAGGCTGACTTTCCATGTACAAAGCCACCACATCACCCTCAGTCCAGCCCTGAGCCAAGGCCCAGTGGGCCACAGTGTGGCATCTCTCCTGTAGCTCTCTAAAACTCCAAACCTGAAATGAAATGAAAATGCAAAATCAGTCATCTTAATTCAGTTTATCCGCTGTTTTAATTAAGGTGCTATGTTTTCTTTCTATTTGTTATTCTTGATGAGACCTCACCTCTCCTGTGGCCTCATATATCAAGGCGGGCTTGTCTGGGTGTTGTGTCACTACCTGGGCAAACAGGGCAGGGATGGTTCTTCGGTTTCGACGATGGTGATACATGGAAATTCTCACTTTAATTATAACAGCCAAACACCTTTTAGACACAAAGAAGAGGAAAGGAGAACGGTGAAGGGCATTTGCAAACAGGAACGGACCAGCATAGAAGCAAATGTGGGACAAGCCCATGCAAACTACCTACTTACATGAGGTCTCTTTTAACAGTATGCAAAGCTATATGAATGTTCTTCCAAGATCCCATATGGACCAAGCACAGCCCTAGCCCCACCAGCAGACTGCAGAGCCAGGGGAAGGAGCGCAGCCACACAGTGCCCAAACCAATGAAGCTCAATATGACACCGATCTTTCGCTCCATGATCTTATCTCTGAGAATACAAACAATGACTTCAGGCACAAAAATCATGAAAATACACTCAACTGAAATCTCATGAGATGAGGCTTACCTCTTAAAGATTCTTAATTATGATAGTCCAAGAGAAAAAAATGGATTCAGCAGCAACAGTGTGCTGTGACGAGTTAAATGTCAGCTTCACTGTTAAGTTGAGTAACAGCACCAGAAGCAGCTCACAGAGCTGTCAGATGTTTCCAAAGCCAGAGGTGAAGTGCCTGATAAGAGGCAGCACGCAGCAGAGAGTTGCACAAGTTACAACCCATGCAGTTCCTGCGTCACTGCAGAGCCAGTGTGATTCATTACTCCTGAATCAAAGTGCTTCCGGTCCTGTTTATAAAATCAGAAATGTGTGATTTCATGAGGAAAATTATTTACTGGGTGCATGCATAGGCACGATTTCTTCATCTGAATAACTACAATAGATTACTCACTTACAATCAAGGAAGAGTTTAATCATCAGTATTTATTATTTCCCAGAAAGGCTAATGAGCACCAAGGTTTTAAAAGCAGAGAGAAGTTCAATTTTATTGAATGTGTAGAAGTTATAACATTTGAATCCATTAAGTGTATAGGGCTTTCTTTTAAATCATTACTAAATAGATCATTTTGATTAAAGCAGTTTTCAAAGGAAAATTTAAAAAAAAAATCCATAAAGAATAAAAAAGACTATTTGGATTCACAAGCAGTATAAAAAACTATGCTTTATAAATCATTCCATTCCATGGAAGAATGGATGGATTTGGAATTTACATCAACAGCAACTCAGTGCCAGATAAGCGGAAGAAGAGGGATGGATCATGGATCAGGTCCATTCATGGGGAAAAAAGGTGGTGTGTTATTGATTAATGCTAATAAACCACAATCTTCTTTTCAGATGAAATAGAAGCTTTAATAAATCTTATGATGCACATTCTTCAAAGAAAACAGTACCAAATATAAACAGAACAAAGTAAAAAAAATAAGTTCATATAACTTACATTCACAATACTACAAAAAAAAGCATGTAGCTATTTTCACATTGATATCCATAGCATTGTATGAAAAAAAGGTTTGATGGCCATAAAAGTGCAATCACACTTACCAACCGAAGAACAGGGTAGATGTTAAAACCAACAGTGAGGTGACTTTAATATATTTCGCAGTAAGGATTAAGACAATAAAACAATCGAAATGTTTCCTCATACTAACATCTTTGTCGCTTTTTGTTTTTTCTGTAACTGGAAATATATTAAGTTTATTTTTACTCTCCAGGATCTGTAACTGAGGCTGGTGCACTGTGTGAGTAAAGAGGCGCGGGATCATCATATTTATCATCATGGAAAAGTGCAACAAAATAAACAAATTCAGGTCTGTACAGCTCCCATCGCTTAAGTTTTACAGTAACTAAGAGTGTGTAAAGGCACATTGTGACTGCTCACAGGCTTAAACACAGTTTGCTTGCAGGAAGTTGCAGGCTTATCAGTAGGGTGGGTCTGTTTTTGTGAATTGCCCACTCGTTTTGGGACAGATTTAGAATTTCAAGTTCACAATTTTGAGAATAAAAAGAAAACCCTTGAAATATGCACTTGGGGTGGGGGAAAAAGGCACAGCTCAGTTGTTAATCAAGGGCGAGTCTTTGAAAATAGCCACAAGTATTATTTTCTTTAAAAACACTTGCTTTGTTCGTAATCAAAGAAGCAGACATAAACTCCTTGCAAGAACCCACATGGGAACAAGGGGAAACTCATCATTGGTAAGCTGCTTCCGTTGCAGCCTACTGTTAAATAGAGTACATGGAAACAAATATTATCCGACAGTAACAGCAAACATTCCCAATCTTATATACAAACAGCCATTTATGCAAAAACAAAAATACAAATATGTAAAACAGAACAATTTGCATGCTCATTTTTTTCTTGTAGCCTACATAACATGGACTTTATTGTCTGCACTGAAAATAAATACTAACATAATTATATCATATGACTTTGAAAGGAATACAGCTTATATTATTACTGTGATATGTTCTGCTTGAACCAATAAGCCACTCGAGCAGCTTCACTTTCACACTCCTGAATAAACACTTTTAATAGCCGGCTTTTTCATGCCTGTGACTTTTTTTTTTTAACTCAGTGATAAAAATCTGTCATTACCAGTACGCCTTGAACTACAAAGAGTACTACAGCACACAAACAATGAGGAAAATAACCATATTCAGGAGGTAAATCGGACCTTGCGACCTTGTGAGTAGCAAACGATGCTACTGGATTGAACTGAAATTTGGTCCCATTAACATCACGTTACCTACGAGGAATAACCTGTGCTTAACAGGTCACAATTTCATTTCTTACTGTTTTATGATGTGATACTTTAAAGACAAGCTATAAATTCTTGCTATCAGTACCTAAGAATGACATTTTATTTTGAAATAAAGGATTTTAAGAGGACTTGGATAAAACTAAAAACTACAGTTTAAATGTAAATATCCAGGAACCACTTTATTTCTTTTTTTCCCAAGTCACCGAGTGTTGGTGAATCTGCCAACAGCCCCCAGCCAGCATTGTGTAGTCATTTAGTGAGTCACTGCTTTTAGACTTCACCGGAATCAAGTTTAAATGAAGAATTGCTGTAGGTGACAAATTAGGCTGAATGTGTGATAGTCATTAAGTCTTTGGAGGAAAGCTTTAGCTTGAGCGCTTCATATTTGTGATTCTCCTGTTTGCTGCCCACTCTTTGAACCCTAAAGGGAGAGAAACCACACGGTTAGACACAGAGTAATTTAAAGCTAATAATTACACACCCCTAGTAGATTAAAAAGTACCAAAGTGCTACCAGTGAGAAAATGCAGTTCTTTACTTTCCACTACAAAGTGTGCTTGTGACCGATGATGATATCCAGTGGTATTATTGCATGCTTACTTGTGATTGACTGCTGGAGGGATTTGTGGTGCTTAGGTCTGAGTATCTCTTCTTCTGTGACGTGCAGATACAGGAGAGGAAATTGGCATATTCCTCTCTCACCTACAGAGGGCAACAGAACATTAAGAAACAAATCTGTGTTGCCACCTCGCATACTGACACAATCTAGCATGTTTGTCACTGCTTTTGCCCTTTTCACTGATTTTATTTAAATATACATTTTCATGCTGTTTTAATTTCGGTCTTAGCATCATGTCCACATGAAGCTTTACACAAATATACTGTGTTCGTACCTGTTTGGACAGCAGACAGTGCATGATGAAGACCAGTGCGCCCTGCAGGCTGTTGAAGATGGTGAAAATGTACGACACTGCAACAGGGGGATCCTCTTGAAACAAGAAGACCCCAGATACCCACATCAGACCCAGAATACACATCTGGGCTACAGCTGTCACAGTGAAAGCTCTGCAGACGGAAAAGAAGGATGGGAAAAACGGTAAGTCAATAAAGATTACCAGAGAATGGTAAAGGTTACACACGGATGACTCAGTTACTACATTAGTGTTTGGAAAGCCCCATTAAAAGTGAAAGAACACAATGAGACATGTGTTCTAGGCAAAGCAGCTACAGAACAGATCATTTTAGTTCACTTTGCTTTCTGCTGAATGTATGTGGAAGCAGAAAAGCCAAAGGCTAATGATAAATATAAAAGAGAGATTAAAAGAGGCACTCTTAAAAAGAAGTTTCTGTCAGTTTGCTCTGTATGGCTCCTTTGTTCTATTTATTTATCCAGCCTAGCTGAAGTTACCAACTTAGCCAAGAATCCATTTAGCAAACAAGAAGATCGAAATGTGAAAAAGAGACTTTTCTTCCACAGACAGAAATTGTTGGATTATAATTTAATGCCTTCTGACTTTTTCCTCTACTGAAAAAAAACATCTTTCTCTCTTGTTTCTGGCACATGAAGTTCACTTTCCCAACTCCTTGGACTGAACTACACATCATTCATGATCGACTAGCAAAAAGAACAAGGGATTCTTTTTCTTTTTAACTCTAATGTTTTTTGCAGCTATGAGCGGAGGGTCCATGAGCTAAGTATGAGCCTACTGTAGGTAGACAGGCGAGACAAAATCCATTAACAGAAGCTCATCAGGGAGCTGTCACAACTAAGAAAACATTCCTTCCATTTTTTCCCCCTCACAAAACGTATTCTTTCTATCAAAGCAATTCCCAGTCCCGAAGCTGCCATATTGAATCTATATATTGTACGTTTTATAGTTACACAGTTTGGTCATGCAGTGGAAGGGGTTACACATTCAAATTAATACACAGACTGACTTAATTTTGTGCAGGTTGGAGAGGTCTGGGTTGAGGCTGGCAAACTTCTGGGCAAGTTTCCAGACGGTGATGATAAAGAAGAAGACATTCACAAAGATGACTAAGCACACAGGCCCGAAGAAGCTCCAGACGAAGCCGTCATCCGTGGACAGCCAGCAGCTACGTTTAGTGATAAAACACACATTCACAACAGGATGTTCTTTGCTTCACTGAGATAGCATTAAGTTTATGCAACCTACTGATGTCATTACTATTAAGCAACTGTAGAAACACATGCACAGACAAGGCTTCTCTGGTCATCACTTTTAGTTACTGGAAGACTTACTATTTTTTAGTGCCGTATCCGTTTGGTCTAACGCAGGCGGATATAACGACGATAAACAGAGGCGTCCCGTAGCCCACAGCATATAGGTAGAGGGGCCGCATGGTGGCATTGAACACCAGAACAACCATACGGTACAGCTGCACCCCTTCTAACAGCATCCAGGTGAATACCGCCAGGAAGAAGAAATGGAGCATTGCTGCAACAAACCTGCAGCCACCCTGTAATGTGAAAGGACACAGAAAAAGAACACGTCAGAGAGGAGAAAGCACCGCTCTATCCCTGATCGTACAGCAGTCAGCTGCTTGCAATGTTTCTGTGAGTGAGAATTATTCACACAAACATTTTCTATTCTCCAAATGTAATTAAGACCACATGAATAAGTAGCTTAGCAGCATTTTACATCTTTACTGCCAATGTATTAATGGAGCAAAGATGTACATAAACATCAGAAAACACAGTACCACAGCACCAATTCTGCTCAACTCATATGGACAAGGATAACAAAATACACCATTTTAGCATGTAATGCTTCAAGGTCAGACATCATTTTTGCTTATCGGGAACCTTCAGTCATGTGATCTCTCTGAAGGAGAAGAGACTACAAAGTAACTCTTGACAGCTGTGAAAAG